CCTTCCAAACGTCTGTTTAAAACACTGTTTTAATCTGTTTCACGTTGAAAAAGCACAAGCGGCACAAGATGAACAATTATTCAGCTGAATTCTAATATGCTCAATTGTTATGTTGCTAAGGGAATGTCATGCTTGATTCCACATTGGTTCGATCATAAACTCAAATCACTGTCATGTCTATGCAATGAAAGCAGTCTGTTATTTCGATAAAGGATAAGCAAACCATTATTTCACATTATTTTGGAGAAAAGCGAAAAAGGAACAAATTTAGCACTCAAGTTTAAAATCAGCAAGCAGCAGATCTCAGATATATGCAAAAACAAAGAGAAGATCCTGAAATTCACCGACAGTGTAGAGACAAGCGTGGGATTGAAAATACTGGTTTTAAAGGCTTCAGAAGCACACCTCTACCAGAGTAGGAAAATCAGCTTACCCATAGGGTAAGATATTATTCTTTAGTAAAATCCAACTAGTGGTCTATTATCTATGCTGCATTCTGATTGGTTGGGCTACTACTAGGCTATATGTTATAGCCCACTAGTAGCAAAAAGCACTGGCTTTTTGGCAGCAAAAAAGGATTAAAGTCTAGCTTTAACTAGCTTAAGTTGTTTTGTCTTGATATTTTTGACCAACTCGTTAGATTTTACTGAAACAATTATTCCTCTCCCCCTCATGGCCTCTGAGTGAATAGCCTATTCGACCTTCAGCCTCATGGAGTATTGACTCAGAGCCCATTCAGGCTCAAGTAATAATAATTATTCCTCTCGCCCTCATGGCCTCTGAGTCAATTAAGTTTAATACCTAAGATCTCTGAGGAGCTTCACACATATGTGCAGCCTATTATTACACATCTTTTAGCAACATGGCCTCGAAAAAGCAACATTAAGGCTACATGAAATTGCAACATGGGTAAATACCAACTGGGCAGAGGAACATGGGCTACTCCTCGAAATGGGAAATGACCATATTTGAAATTCAGACTAGGGACATACATATCCTCCCCCTGCCCCACCCACCCATACTTGTCCAACACTCTGACAAACTTATGCATGGCTTTGTTTAATTTCTCATTGTATTTTTTGTTCTCTATTCTTATACTTTTGCACAGAATTTTAATGACAATATAATGCGATGCATAAATTTGTCAGAGCATTGGACAACCCTCCCCCCAATCCAAGAGCAGACCTCTCAAGTCTCACGGTTTTGAGGACAATCTCACGGTCTCACGATGAGGCACAAAAATCTCACGGTAAACAGATTCAAAAGCCGATGGAATACACTTTTTGAGTATTTTCATTTTTGCCTTGAAAAAGTGATTTTCATGCTTCAATTATGTAGAAATCTACAGTTCTCAGGCATATTCATCTCTATTCGTCATATTTAATTGTCTTGTTGACAAGATAAATGCCAAATGAGGTGATCGTTACCAGTTTGTCGCATTTAGATACATTTCATACACTATGTCAAAATGGTGGGAAATGATGAAAATTCATCAGGTGAAGACAAAGTTCAAAACAGAATGGGAAGGTTCATATCCTGTTAAACGTATTCTTAGCAATCCATTTTTGTTTTTATGTCTTCCCTACACCTGGTTTTAGTTCTTTTTGATGCCGTTGATAAACCTCCAGGTTTCTCCCGAAATCTCCAGGTTTTTTTCCTTGATCTCCAGCTTTTTGGTCCTCAAGAGTTAAGAGGTCTGCAAGAGGGCATCTTTTTAGGTGAACCCACATTAAGCGAACACCCTATATTATATTAAGTGAACGAATGGCTCACTTTGTTTGAAGACTTTCTTCCCATTTTTACTGCAAAACGAACCTGTATCCAGGGAACACCAACTAAGGTCACCTGGGTATCCACAAATTACAGGTTTCATTGTAGATGTGGATGGTAAAATGTCCGGAGAAGGGCTACCTTAAAATTACCTGATAGTGATCAGGTTTAAAACATTAGCTTAATCCTTTCACTAACATTATCTAAATATTTCATGCTCATGAGACCAACATTTCCTGTGTTAAAGACTTTAAAAACTTTAAGTTAAGCTCGAGCATACCTCACAAGACCAGTGCGGGATTTGAAAACGACTTCTGCCAAGCCACGTCCGTGAATTTCTACGTCATAAATAAAGCTCTGAGTTGATGAATAAGTTAAAGATCCGATCGAGGTGACATACGAGTACCTGGAGTCTAAAAACGTCACTTTAGGTCCTGATTTAACTACAAACATGTTCTGCGTGCTCCGTCGCCATATTTGTTTCTTTTAGTGCCCAGTCTCAATTAGCGCGCGAGTTTCGCGCGCGAGCTTTCAGAGCACTCGTTTCGCGTTTCTCGAGTACTCGATCGAAAACGCGATCAAACGCGATCGACTTTTTCATGAAATATCAAGGTTTATGGGTGAGAAAAAAGTAAATTTTATTCCAAACAAATAAGTAATGAAACCAGCCTATTGACGAACCAGAAAGCAACCTCGTTCCCAGGTTCTCTCTCCTTACTGAGGACTTTTCAAATAATCGAACGTTAGTTACCAACGGTAAGTGAAAAATCCTTCGTGTAAAACTGAAGTGTATATACAAAGGCATCAGTCCAATAAATATGGAATGAAAATTTTATTTCCTGCTAAAAGGTAGAAGTAACTTCTCAACCACATGATTTACTTCAAGTGATGCTATAATATTGAAAAACTAGGAAACACACAAGCAGTTCTGAGTAGGACGTCTGTGGGACGTCTGTGAGAAACTCGTGGAGTGATATGCCATACAACTAGACCAATGTGTGTGTTCAGTAAAGATCTCAAGTCCTTTTCATAAACCGGGTTCATAATGCTGTAAGAGGACCATCTCAAAATAAAGCCCAACTTCTAAATTCTAGTGAGCACCCACCCATTCATTGCTGTCAGTTTGAAAAAAAAAAGGATCACCCATAGCAGGTAAGACAGGGCAGAGCAGAAGATTGAAAAACGCACCATTCAAGACGGGAGAATACAATTTCGTCCATCGCCTGAGTTATTAAGTCTTATCAGTCACTAATGGGCGTCTTTCGATATATAAAAATTCAGCACGACAGCTGCGAGTCTTAGAGGACACAAACATTTTTATTCATTTTCTTTGTTTGTGTCCTCTAAGACTCGCCATCATGCTGAATTGTTTTAGAACTTTCCACTAAACACTGTCACTACTCTAAAACAGTAATCAGTGAAACATTGTGGTGATGATTGATCTTAGACAAATCAAAAAAAGCTTAAAAACAATACCGTAATTATCGTATTGACGCAAAGCAGGGGCACCTAACGACGGCTTTCTGTAAAATATCTGTTCGGAAAGCAAATATTGCCTAGAATTTTCTTTTATTTGAGGACAGCTAAAAATTTCTAGATGACCGTTCCATTCATGTACAATTTTCGGAAATAAATTTCCTGCGATTTTCTAAAGTAAGTTGAATTTTTCACATTTCACTCCCTAGGTTAGGCTATTTTTCGTAGAAAAAAGGAAACCTAAAACTATTTTCGGATTCAAAAATGTGATGGAGAGAGGAATCAGAAAAATTTTCACTTTCGTAATACGTTAAATTGCATCTAAAATTTTGGGGACAATAATACAGAAGCCCTTGTAATGTCCAAAAGACTCAAGCACCCCTAGGATGACTGAATAGATATAGAACGTATTTCTAGAGATCTATTAAAAAAGCACTCTGGATACCCTAAAAAGTGTTTTCAATGTATTTAGGAGGAAACCGTCGATGGTTGCCCCTGGCAAAAAGCATTTAACTCTAGAGAACACTTTTGTTATTTATTACAATTTAATGGCAAAAGGTTTCACGTAAGTGATAAATACAAAGGCATTGCCATAAGGGCGGTCTGTAAAAGAGTCAAAGACCCTAAGTAAGACAGACCACCTTCTAAAAAATATTCATATCATAAAAACTAAGATTTAATAAGACAGATAATTAAAAATGTGAAAATGCATATGGAGATATGAACAAAAAAATCAATAAAATAATAATAATAATAATAATAATAAAAACCTCACACATTTCCAGCTTAAAACTCCCTCACTTCTTTCTTAAAACTAGCAATAGTTGTTGCCTGACGAACAAGCAATGGTGTTCCACATGTCAACGATCCTACTGAAAAAACGAAACTTAAAGGTATTACTACTATAGCATAATTCTTTTTAAGAGTACATTCATCTTTTCCCCTTAAAGGATACCGATCAGAATCTGAGAAAAACTGTTTATATGTAGATAGATCAATATTTATATAGCCATTCAGGGCTTTATACAGGAATAATACGTCAAATAAAAATCGCCTTTGTTCTAAGGACAACAAATTGAGCATTTTTCTCCGTTGTTCTTAATCATCATGGTCTTCAAAATAAACTTAGTTGCCCCTCACTGAAATCGCTCCAACTTAGAAATATTTCTAGATGTGTGTCAGCTGGAGTGTGGTGACCACACAACACTGCAATACTCTAGCTGTGATGTGACCAGGGCAAGATACAGAGTTCTCAATGTGGAAACATCTTGAAATCCTTTACAGGTCCCTTAGACCTAGGATCTTGTTGGCCTTATTCGATATTTTAACAATATGAGTGCTCCAAGACAGATTGCAATTGGTAACCAAGCCAAGATCACGGAACTCAGATGTTAGCTTTAGGATATTATAAGGGAGCTTAAGCAACTACTACTACTACGACGACGACGACGGCGACAACTTAAAAAAAAACAATAGGTTTAATGATCAAAACAACAGCTCTGCAAGTGCATCACGCTTTTTAGTACATTTCTTTGACGTCCACTGCACGACTACGACGAGAAACCTCCTAATTTGACGTTTTATGGAGCAGGTGGACATACGACGACGAATTTTCCTTCCTCTTTTTGAACTTGAATAAAATCCTTGAGAATTCAACTCCAGGAAAAGTCGCCTACATTTTGACGCGATTAAGTTTGAAAGCAACCTAGTCGCAGGTTTGAAAGGAAACAAATTCATTTTTTTAGCGACGTTTTCACTGCCGTCGTGGTCGTCTTTCTTAAGGTCCCTATTATTTAAGTGTAAGTCAGAGGGAATAGGTGTTTTCCTTTTAGTGATATGCATTAGTTTACATTTCTTCACTTTAAACTCCATGAGGTTTTGTTGACTCCATGCATATAAATTGTCGAGATCTGACTGAAATACGGAATGATCAGCTGGACAGTTTTTTGCAGTCGTCAGCATATAATGAAACACAGTTTCCGGGCATTACTACTTCAGGCAAATCACTAATGAAAATTACAAAGAACAAAAGGCCCAATAAGGAGCCCTGAGGTACGCCCGATGGAATAGCACACCATGTAGAATTTATTCCTTCTATGACAACTCTCTGGTGAGATAATCCTTACATAAATTCAAAGCGCACCGGAGATACCAAAATTACAAATTTTTTGCAGCAGGATATTATGTGCCACTCTGTCAAAAGCCTTTGCAAAGTTCAGGAAAACGACGTCCACCTGTTTGCCCTCATCCAAGGCCTTTGACCATTGATGGTGTGACAGAACTAACGGAGTAAAATCATAATATAACTTAAATATCTATTTGGCATTTCATCACGTTTGTCAAGATCAGTACATTTACAAAGTTTATGAAACCAAAGTAATACTCGTGTTGATGTAAGGCATGTAAGTGATTGAGCTTATTTGAAGCAAGCATAAATTGAAGGGCAGGCCTTGACGAGAGTAGCAGAAGTCACGTGGAACGAAAGAAGCCCTAATATAGTAGACATAGGTTCAGAAGGTCTATACAACTTTGACGTCTCCACTATGAGGACGACTAACTGGTCCTGGCTATCCCTTCTCCTTGTGCTCCACGCTCAGCTCATGCTTCACCTTCCCCTGTAACGTATCAAAATGGCGCCTGCTTTAAAAAGTACAATTATCACCTGTTCACTTTGAGGTCTCAGACAAGACTACTTCATTGAGATCCTAGGTATATACATTTATGTACAGCTGTGACAGTAGTTGTCAACTTGAACATGTTTCCTCTCAGTTTACAAGTTCTTTGTTTCCGTTGCACCTTCGCCATCTTTCAAACTGCTCTTATCAAATACACCTGCGATAGAAATAAAAAAAAAAAAACAATCATGACGGTTCCCTTTCGTATGTATTCTTTGCACGATTTTTTTTAGCCATCGATCAACATGCTTCTGTTGCTCGTTGCGCTAAATGTTTTACCTAAATATCTGGCACAGATTTTTTCAAAGTCAAACAAATAACAAAACCTTTACATTTTGAGGAATCATTTATATGCTAAAAATTCAGTAAAGTCATATTGTATCACTTTCAGCTTAAATGTGATTCGTATAATATTCGCACTGCATACCTATTGTTCCGACACGGGGAGCTAAGTTAAGGGAGGCAACCGCGACTGCCGCGACTGCCAGAATAATAGGCATGCCGAATAATGAGAGTAAGCGACGTCAACCGCCACCAGGGGAGGTGGGAGGGACGAAACTTCTAAGTCACTTCCACTGAACCCCGTTGAACTAGCCAAGAGGCGGGCAAAAACTAAGCAATTCTAACTAAGGCCTGCAATGCATCGTGCCACGAGCACGCAGGCCCAACACCACGGAATTTAAAAGAGTTACTTAATTCCCGCGTCTCCAGGCAATTATGTATGCAGTGAGGATATTTTACTTTATTTCAAATTCCTTGGATTCGTTTGCTGTTTTTATACTGATCAGATTATAGCTTCAAGCAGGAGATTGATATCAAGCCAACCGTGCTATCCATTGCCGCCCGAGCAGCCCGAGCAGCCTGTGCAATGGTTGCCCAGAATATCAGCCATCTCCTCTGGTACAAAATCGCGACCACGAAGAGAACTAAAGAAAAACGTATTGTAAACCCCAGTCAAATCGAATGGAATACTTTCTTGGGGGTATATTAAATCTTTCGACTTCTCCGGGGAACAAGCATCATAAACGAGGCGATTGATGTCGAAAATGACCTCCTTTTAAGAACACACGAAATCGACAAGGGAGTTGCTTTTAGCTCATTTGCCAGAAAAACACCTGTATAAAATAGAAGTTGCAAAATCGAATGCTCCTGCAGCTGCTTAGGCTAGATTAAGGACCCAGGGAATCTTCCCGTCTGCTTTTAAACTCTTGCCCACCGGTAATTAGTACGTATACCATCTGCGCTATCTCTGGTTCCCTGAGGATGAATCTTTTTAAGACTAAAAATATTAGCAGCTTTTTTTTAGCCTGTTCCAGGCTCTCAGATAGTAGGGATGAAGCGGTGAAAGGCGTACGGAGCGACTCAGTCGCGGAACCTGGAACAGGCTACATTTTGTCTTTCATCAGGTACACCCTCAAGAAAAAGTGTGTTTAACACTTCCTTCTCTTCTCTGTAATATATTAATAAATTGTTTTCGTATGCTCTTTGGAATCTCAAATATCGTTTTTTACATTTTAACTTTAGTTAGTTAGAGATCCGAGCATGCTTTACGAAATATTCCATAAAAATCGGAAAATAATTAAATTCGGCCTTCTCTCCAGTCACCTCACTTCCATAACCAGGGTTGGAAAAGACAATAAATAAAAAAAAAAAACTACGAAAACTCAGTATAACTCCCTTCATAATATTTTTCAAAATGATGCGTAGTATCACGAACATCAATTTCACAAATTTTGACTAAGATAACTAAAAAAACCTAAAAATGATTTCAAATACAAACCTTTGAATGTCACATCATCTCCAATCAGCATAAAGGGTGCCCACTGCTTGACGTCAGAAAAGCGAGCCTCTCTCATCGACTTCATGGCCTGATGAAGAGATTCACTGGCACTTTCACCACGGACAAGGTGCTCGTAGAAATGACTCATAAACCACATGGTAGCTTTGTCCTCTATAGCCCACAGTGCCGCCAGCACGGCGCGTGCACCTGATGCTAGAAATGCTCGAGCGATTCCAACAATTCCCTCAGCTCTAATCTGACCACTTGCACTATGACAGCAGCTAAGGACAACCAGCTTGGCTGTTAGTCGAACTTGTGAAATTTCAGCCATCGTTAATAAGTAGTTTTCTTCGTGTGGAGTTCCGCAGGAGCTTATAGGGGAAAGAGCTATTTCTCCACGTTCGGCATTACCATGAGCAGCGAAGTGAATGAGACTCACTGAATGCATGCTTTCCAGGACTGCCTGCTTAGTTGCATCCTTTCCAAGCAACGGTGGAACACCGAGCAGTCGCCCAATCATCTTTGCTTCCTTTCTCGCCCCAGGCAGTGGCTGTAACTGTAGAATCTTTCCTTGGTAGTATACATCACTAACGTCTGGCTCCCCTACGATCAGCGCACCGGTTTTACTATGGTAGTCTGCTGGACTGAGCTGAATCAACTTAAGAGTCGTCAAGGAAGGGACAATGCGAATCCTGAAAGTATCTGATAAATACTTTCCATTGCCATCCTTTAAAGCAGCAAAAGGAATAGGATACAACAAGTTATCCGGTATAATAATGATTTCTGATTCTTGGAGTAAGTCAGCTACAGGAGCGACTATCATGGTGTAACCAACAGCAAGGGTTAAAGGTTTAGAGTCTTGATTTTCGTCTTCCTCTTCTTCGATAAGACGCAAAGATTCGAAGCTGTCACTCTGAGATAGTTTGCAAGATAGCGGGGAACTTACACATGAAAATAATGATCGATCTTCGCATTGGTCTTGACGTAAATCAAGAGAGCCACCAAATGTCTGATTTCCAAACGCTTTATGTGCACTTTCTTTGAGTCTCGTTTGTCGAAAAACTATCATTTTGTTTGGCTTGAGGATCCAAGAGTACATATTATCACCGAAGCAGGAAACATAAAGACAAGAACTAAGTGAATTTTTGTTCATAATGTTCTCTATACCAATCCATGACTGTTGGTCGACTGATACCCCTTTTTCCACAAAGTACTTATCTGAAAGTGCGTCTGTTAGTGCTCTGGATCGTCCAAGCTCGGCAACGTAAAGAGCTTCATAATAACTGCCTGTAGCAATTAACAAACTACAAAGAAAAAGGTAAGGGGACACATGCTCGTCAAAAAAAGAAATTTTGAATTGATCCTTCCCTCTTAAAAAATCATGCATTTCTTCGCACTTCTGAATGCTTTCATGCAGATTTCGCAGAAGTTCAGTCATGCTTCCTCCTGCCACTAACTCATTCAGAGCAATGGAAAGGTGGCTTTCAAACTGCATTTCAATGTCCCCTATTTCGTAACTTATCTCAAGTGCTTTATTGGCAAATTCTTGACTCTTTGCAGTAAGTTGAAATTCTCGACAAAGTTTTCCCAGATTTAAGTATGAAGCTCCAACACCAGCTTTGTCACCGATTTCTTTCCTGATCACTAGTGCTTTTTGAAGGTATTCTTCAGCCTTGGTATATTGACCAACAGATTGAAACACAGTTCCTAGATTTCCGTAAGCAGATGCTTCTCCTTCTTTGTCACCGATTTCTTTCCCGATCACTAGTGCTTTTTGATAGTATTCTTCAGCCTTGGTATACTGACCAACAGAAAGAAACACAGTTCCTAGATTTCCGTAATCTGCTGCTTCTCCTTTTTTGTCACCGATTTCTTTCCTGATCACTAGTGCTTTTTGATAGTATTCTTCAGCCTTGGTATATTGACCAACAGATTGAAACACAGTTCCTAGATTTCCGTAAGCAGATGCTTCTCCTTCTTTGTCACCGATTTCTTTCATGATCACTAGTGCTTTTTGAAGGTATTCTTCAGCCTTGGTATACTGACCAACAGATTGAAACACAGTTCCTAGATTTCCGTAATCTGCTGCTTCTCCTTTTTTGTCACCGATTTCCTTCTCGATCACTAGTGCTTTTTGATAGTATTCTTCAGCCTTGGTATATTGACCAACAGATTTAAACACAGTTCCTAGATTTCCGTAAGCAGATGCTTCTCCTTTTTTGTCACCGATTTCTTTCTTGATCACTAGTGCTTTTTGAAGGTATTCTTCAGCCTTGGTATATTGACCAACAGATTGAAACACAGTTCCTAGATTTCCGTAAGCAGATGCTTCTCCTTCTTTGTCACCGATTTCTTTCCTGATCACTAGTGCTTTTTGAAGGTATTCTTCAGCCTTGGTATATTGACCAACAGATTTAAACACAGTTCCTAGATTTCCGTTAGCAGATGCTTCTCCTTTTTTGTCACCGATTTCTTTCTTGATCACTAGTGCTTTTTGAAGGTATTCTTCAGCCTTGGTATATTGACCAACAGATTGAAACACAGTTCCTAGATTTCCGTAATCTGCTGCTTCTCTTTCTTTGTCACCGATTTCTTTCCTGATCACTAGTGCTTTTTGAAGGTATTCTTCAGCCTTGGTATATTGACCAACAGATTTAAACACAGTTCCTAGATTTCCGTAATCTGCTGCTTCTCCTTTTTTGTCACCGATTTCTTTCCTGATCACTAGTGCTTTTTGAAGGTATTCTTCAGCCTTGGTATATTGACCAACAGATTTAAACACAGTTCCTAGATTTCCGTAAGCTGATGCTTCTCCTTCTTTGTCACCGATTTCTTTCTTGATCACTAGTGCTTTTTGAAGGTATTCTTCAGCCTTGGTATATTGACCAACAGATTGGAACACAGTTCCTAGATTTCCGTTAGCAGATGCTTCTCCTTCTTTGTCACCGATTTCTTTATTGATCACTAGTGCTTTTTGAAGGTATTCTTCAGCCTTGGTATATTGACCAACAGATTGAAACACAGTTCCTAGATTTCCGTAAGCAGATGCTTCTCCTTTTTTGTCACCGATTTCTTTCCTGATCACTAGTGCTTTTTGAAGGTATTCTTCAGCCTTGGTATATTGACCAACAGATTGAAACACAGTTCCTAGATTTCCGTAAGCAGATGCTTCTCCTTCTTTGTCACCGATTTCTTTCGTGATCACTAGTGCTTTTTGATAGTATTCTTCAGCCTTGATATATTGACCAACAGATTGAAACACAGTTCCTAGATTTCCGTAATCTGCTGCTTCTCCTTCTTTGTCACCGATTTCTTTGCTGATCACTAGTGCTTTTTGAAGGTATTCTTCAGCCTTGGTATATTGACCAACATGATAAAACACAGTTCCTAGATTCCCGTAACATGTTCCAACTCCGTCATTATCTCCAACCTCGATCATGATGCTGAGTGCTCTCTTGTAAAACTGTTTTGCTTCCTCGTATTTGCTTGTTTGATAGTAGATTTTCGCTAGTTTAAGTAATGTCATCCCTTCTACTTCTTTTTGGCCACTTGTACCATTGTGTAGTGTCATTAAAAGCCTTTTACCACATTCTATCGCACGGGTGTGATCGTACACAAGAGTATAGCCATCAAGAAGCTTACGGTATACATAGATAAGAAGTGGTATGGTAAGTTCTTTGATTGTCTCTAGGGCTTTACCGTTAAGGAGCACCAAACATTCGTTAAAGATGTCTACTGCTCTTATAATACGTCCAGTGTTTAAAAGGAAAGTTGCAACAACTGCACCAATATGAATGGTCTGTAGAATCTCCAAGATGTTGTCCATGACGCTTTTTCCTCAACCTTGAGAAAAAGAGTAAGAAAGTGGAAACAAGATTCTTAACGTCTTTTTAACTGAACAGTTAAACTTCTTAGGCAAGATAATCAAGCTTTCATGTAAGATTTACTGAGGTAGGTCAGGATTATAAGTGTTGGACTATCATTTCTTTGGCCTATTCTATACTTCTTGAATCTGCAAATGCAGAATATCTAAATAAATAGTTTTACAGAATAGTTTGTAACCTACTGTTAAAATTTCTGGAAAATAAAGCTATTTCAGCCACAAGCTTTTACAGCAACAAGGAGCTTTATTTGCATGACCATAAGTTCATATACTGTTGCAAAAGCTATTTTAAGAAATGTAAAAAATGTAAAAAATTAGTTCTGACACATTTGTCTTCTCTAGGACTTAAAAAATATTTAGGCGAAATGGTTTGGTATTTCATTGGTGTCTATAAAATAAACATGACCGCTTGGAGATCATCCTTGGAGACTAGTCAGGTCTCTTATGTCAGGATCGTTACAGAGTTGACAAAAGCACCAAACTTTGCACAGCGATAGCTTATTGCAGTACCATGAATATTAGAGGGGGTGCCCAATGCAAATATGCCACTGAAGCGTGCTAAACAGGATTTAATTATTGTAAATTTCACCTGTTGGGTCCCTGTGCTGTTTTGATTGAAAATTGTTATTTAATACCTTAAATCACTGAGAATGCTCTTCTCATGTTGTAAACAACAATTTCACTTGAACATCTGGCATTCCCATTCTTTATTAGCTTATTGATTGTATAATTAAGTTGATTATTACTGTGCCCCTAAAGCAAGTCCACAGTCCGCCCACATTGTCATAAGTCACTTCTGAGATGGCCTCGTCTTTGCTTCATAACTTACAAGTACTCAGCTTCTGGGGTTCTCTTTTCCTTTTCTAATGTAATTCAATTAGAGGAGGTTTTACCTTGTGGCTTAAGCCTTATTTATCAAGTATTACTTGTCATTACATATCACTTTAAGCTAAAGAAAGCATAATATGGCATAGCAATTCACACACAAAATTTGAGAAAAAAGAAATTGTCAAAGAGTCTGTTGTATCACATATTATCAGGGATTTATGACAGCTGTTCATGAAGAGCAAATAACGAAATGACAGAACCCAAAATAGTTCTTTCCTAAGGAGGTAATTAATTTTTCAGCTTAACAAAGGCCTGGATGCCTTTCAGTCTCCCAGGTAGGCATGGTAACCGACTTAGGTGGGGTAACCCGCCTGTACAGATAATCTCTCATTTTAACTTGATCACGTTTACATGATAGGTGGGGTGATTCTTCAAGTTGGGTAGCCCGGTCTGCCACATTGGGTAACCTTCTCAGCTGAGGTCAAATTTTGCCATGTCAACGTTTCAAGCTGAGGTAACCCAGGTTAGTCGGGGTCGGATTCATGATACATCAAATTCGCGCAAATTCACTTTGGTGCCGGGTGGCTTCACATAATCAGTTAAGGTAACAATAGAAAGCCACAACATTGAAGGTTGCAGCAAGAGCAGCAAGTGAGCGTAGACATGGTTTGCCAGCACTTTTATCGTTTACGTGCTTACCGGCCGTTCAATAATCTTGAGAAAGTGCACCCTAGGATGACGGAGTTGTAAGATTGCAAGTAAAGGAGGGTTATTTTTTTACCCCACCTAAGCAGGTTACCTCACCTACCTGGGGTCCCCCACCTTTATGTTAACAGGCTTTAAGTCTCAGGAACCGTGAAACTGGTAATAAACGGTATACCTAGCCCGGGACTAGCTGTGATACTACTTCGATCTTCAAAAACGTCAGCATAGCAGCCAAAGGAGCCATTACATCGGTGTAACACAAATATTAGATTGCGGTTGTTTCATGCGTCTCGTTTTGTGACTTTTTTTGTGTTCGTTTTTGTCACTGTCTCTAAATTTTAACCATGCTCAAAACACTCCTACTAACAAAATATTTCGTAAAGCTCTTTAGGATGATAGTCAGCAATAAAAACAAGGTGTGACCAGAAGCCGATTTCTAGGCTCCTGGTGTGGCGACATAGCATAGGTAAATGCATAGTTTTGCGGTATGTATTCCGTCAGAAATCTGTTTGAGTGGTCAAAGTTGGGGCTGATGGGCTTCTTTAATTATCATGACCACTCCATTATTATAGGGGACCAGGCCATAATTATTGTTGACCCTTGCTTTTTTGGTATTTTCTATAATTTTCCACACCAATATTTTGTGAAAAGTTGGTAACCGAATTGCTCTTGAGGAATTCATGATTGTAAGATTTCGTAACCATGGGGTATTCGCCTAATTGCATCAAACAAATTACATTCATTTTCATAAGTGATGCATCATTGGTTGGCTAAAAGAGGCCTTGTCCCTGTAACTTTAAACTCTTCTGGAGTTAGTTTGTTTGTAAATTGTAACGCAAGCAACAACTTTTTTTGAAAGATCGTATAGACCTACCATTAACACTCTGGTTCGAGGGCTCTGAAATGAATGAGCTCCTTACAGGTGTCTTTAGGTATGTAGGGACTTCATACACTTCTTTTTAAATGCAAATGTGTAAAAAATAAAGAGTGTTAAAAATTCCTGGAGAGGCATGTTTTACAACCTCGTCCCCAGGGCTTAATAAAACGGTAGAAAAAGGTAAAGCGACCATACTTTATGTCAATAACTCGTGACAGTAATAATAACTGATAAACTTGAGGTCGATGGTGCGCTCCTTTTACCCCCCTCTCTCCATTAATGCTCCGTTTTAAGGGCATTTAAAGCTAGTAAAAGCTATACAGAAAGGAGGGAAGTTGAAATAAGGATGTGTTGACACCGGGGATCGAACTCGGGACCTCGCGCACCGAAGGCTGCACACTTTGAACCAACTGTGCCACCCTTGCTCCTCCTTTTCCCCTTGAGGACGAGGCTGACATGTTGTAATCATTATCTCAAGGACAGGGTTACCAACGAAGCAAATTATAATCTAATCTTAGCTGCACAATTACAAAGTGGGCGGGTTGTCAGTTACGGTTCATGAGGTCGTTAATAGACCATTCCCGCATTCGTCACAAGCACGCGCGCGAAAACATGAAAGTGAGGCTCGGGTGGACAAACATCAAACACGGCGGACAACACCGAGAAGCCTAAGGCGCAAACTGCGAAAGATATCCCGTGGTGTAAGTCTCTTAAAAGCTTGCCAGTGTTTACAAGGAAAGAGATAGATGAACACCGGAACAATAGTGGCAAACGAAAGGCTGACGACGTTTCGAAGCCTATTAAAAAAACCCTGAAGCGCGGCTTAAAATTTCAAGAAGAACGGTATCTTTCATCAGACACAGTGTATACGAAGGTATTTGGTAACTCGTTTATGGTAAAAGCAAAGTGTCGTGCCAGCATGAGTACTCGAGAAATTCACGAACTAGAAGTTTCACTCGATGTAACATCTGGGAATGTACGGGAAGCACACTGTACTTGCAGAGCTGGCAAAAGTGGATACTGTAATCATGTGATGAGTCTTCTACTTGAACTCGCTCGTTACTCTTTGGAAGACTTTGACAGGATACCCGAGGAAGCAGCATGTACAAGTATGTCAAGGAAATGGGGTATTCCAGGTAAAGTATAAATTGATTTCAATTAGCTGTAAGTACCCACCTGTACTTTTGGGCAGCTCACGCAAGTAGTTAACATGTTCGGTTTTCGTCTGCTAGCAGAAGAATTAAACTGATAATAGCATAGGTCATGCTGAAGCACGTCTTGATAAAGTTGTATGATGTGTCTGAAAGTTTTGAAGTGACTTAAGCATTATTCACATAGTGATCAAACTTTTTTCTGTTCTTGTTCTAAGGTGAGAAAGGTCTACCTAAAGAATCCATAATGAAGACATCAGTTCAAAAGGAGTTCACGAACAAGGGAATAAAACCAACTCTGTATGATCCAAGAGTCAAGGAAAGAAAAAGATTAGACATCCGTGGAGTTCAAGTAATGCAAAAGGAATTGGAATCAATTCATCCTCTTATTGGTTTTTCCCATGTCATCCCAAAAAAGCCTGAATTGCTGACTAATATAGACACCAGGTATGGACCAGTGGTCATTGGATCTCCCCTCTCTTTTCATTTAAGTTCTTTGGAGTTCAATTTCACTGTTGTCACTAACCTGGAACCGGCAGTTAACCCTGCTCAAGCAGATTCAAGTGACATTTACAAAGCAAGCTTGCCATTCCATTTCCCAGATTTACCTGAAGCTGTTCATTTCAGTACTGTGCAACACACATTCATTGAACACTTAAGAGTAACTCACCAAGAAAGTATTGATATTGAGAAAAGGACTGTTAAGCAAAGGGAATGTGATGAGTGGATAAAACACCGCAAAAATAGACTTGGATCATCTGTGTGTCACAGAATATATGTAAGGAAACGAAGTTTCAATAATCTTGCCAAGGAACTTAACCAGCCATTTAAGCCTCTAGATGAAATTCCAGCAATTCAGCAGAGAAAGCTAAAGCATGGCATAAAATTTGAGCCAGTTGCAAGAGAAAAATATTATGATGTCATGAAGCACTATTTGAAGAGGCCAATTACCTTGAGAGAGACAGGAATGGTGATTCCCCCTTGCATGTTTTGGCTTGAAGGCAGTCCTGATGGTCTTGTTATTGATCCATGTTCCTCATCTGGGAAGATAGGGACAATTGAAATGAAATGTCCAGAGGGAAAGAAGAACCACACCCCAGAGGAGGCAATGCAAGATGAATCGTTTTACATTGAATTAGTTGGTGGTAAACCCAACCTGAAGAAAGATCATCACCTAGGATATTACACCCAAGTCCAGCTAGTTATGGGTTTCTGTGGTTTAGAGTGGGTTGACTTTGTAGTCTATCTATTTAAAGGGATGATCATCACAAGGGTTCCATTTAATAAAGATTATTTTGACCACGTAGTATGTAAAGTAAACATCTTCTATGTAAAGTGGTTTCTTCCTCAGGTCATGGCCTAAATGCAGTTTAGTATATTGT